TAAAAGAAAAAAAAGAAAAGAAAGAAAAGAAAAGAAGAAAAAAAGGAATGATTTCTTACCATCATGACGTTCACCTGTGGACTTAATACCACAAGAAACTGTTTCATTGTATGGAGGAAGCTGCAAAAAAAAAGAAAATAAGATTTAATGATAGGCAAAACAGCTCTTTAAAAATAACATTTTATGTTAATTTAATTAGAAATACCTTGATCGTTTAAAAATAACTCTTTATATCCAATTGTCCTAAATGCTGTCTTGAACTTAAATTCCTATATATACACACACTCATCCCTACATTGTAGTTTGACACTCTACAGAGACTAATTTACCATAATCAGAGATGAGAGATAAAAGACTACCATCACCTTGAGTTACAAACTCTAGAACAGGGATAGGCAAACTTTTTGGCCCAAAAGCCACATCTGCGAATAGAAATTGCGGGCCACGAATGCTCACAAAATTGGGATTGGGGTGTGAGGGCTCCGGCTGGGGGTGTGGGCTCTGAGGTGGGGCTGGGGATGAGGAGTTTGGGGTGCAAGAGGGTGCTCTGGGCTGGGAGCGAGGAGTTCAGAGGGCAGGAGGGGAATTACAGCTGGGGCAAGGGGCTGGGGTGCGGGAAGGGGTGCAGGCTCCAGCTGGGGGTGATGGCTGTGGGATGGGGCTGGGGATGAGAGATTTGGAGTGCAGGAAGGTGCTCTGGGTTGGGATCAAGGAGTTTGGAGGGCGGGAGGAGGATAAGGGCTGGGGCAGGGGGTTGGGGGGAGGCTCAGGGATGCAGGCTCGGGGCGGCGCTTACCTCAAGCAGCTCCCAGAAGCAGCGACATGCCCTTCTCCAGCTCCCACACAGAGGTGCAGCCAGGCAGTCTGCACGCTGCCCTGTACACAGGCACCGCCCCCACAGCTCCCATTGGCCAGGTTCCTGGCCAATGGAAGCTGCGGGGGCAGTGATTGGGGCTGGCGTGCAGAGCAGAGTCCCCTGGCTGCCCCTACATGTAGGAGCTGGAGAGGGGCCATGCTGCTGCTTCCTGGAGCTGCGTCGAGCAGCCACCAACCCTGCTTCCCAGCTGGAGCACCAGAGTGGGGCAAGCCCCAGACCCCGCTCCCCAGCGGGTGCTCGATGACCAGATTAAAATGGCTGGCGGGCCGAATCTGGCCCGGGGGCTGTAGTTTGCCCACCCCTACTTTAGAATCATGAGCTGTCCTCCAGTTCACTTCAGGATTATCTGAGTATAGCAAAAACATACCAAGAATTAAAGGGATGGAAGGACAAAGAGATTAAATAGCTTGCTAAAGTTCACGACAGAAACCTGTGGCAGAGCCATAACAGAACCCAGGCCTTTTGACGCCAAGCCCTCTGTTTTATCCACAAATAGTATTGCCTTTGAAGAGTTTTAAACACTCTGCTTAAAAATACAGTAAAATTTAAAGCAGTTATTCTGGATCATCTTATCCTATTCACTATAGCAAAATGAAGACTATTAGATTTGCACTGCCAGTCGAAATAGTGCCACCATGGTTACTATCTGGATAGAGAATCAAACACTTTGGTATAAAATGTAGGCTCCATTACCTGGAGCTAGTGAACGAATGTAACTCTTCCACTACTTACATGAAAAAAAAGAGTACAATTGCCTACATATTGGTTTACCTTAAGTATGCTGAAATTAAAGGATAAATAAATTCCATGTTAAATATTTCACATGAAAAAGTAAGATAACCTAAAGCTTTGCACTTATAGTACATTCCATGTGGTGTTAAATTTCATATTGCTGTTTAGCTTCTTCCACGAAGTTGGCCTGGTGGTCTGCAGACACATAATGCGTCACTGCGCAGGCAACCCAACTGAGTTGCAAACGTATAGGCATACATTGATCTTGAAACCCACTCTGCTTCAAGAAATATTAGGATTTTCTACAGCACCCATAATCACATTATACATGTGCTTTCCAGCTAAATTAGATCTGCACAGCAAGTTCCTTAGTGGAGCCTCAGGAAGTCTTCTGTTCTTTTTTTCTGGTTATAGGAGGCTCTGGGTGGAGATATATACCTTAAAAATAAAATAATTTTGATTATACTGGGAAAGCTTTCTTGACCAGAAAGCTCTTGGTATGTACTCTGAGGGTGGCCAACTTCAGACTCCTCCGGAAGTTCATTCCACAGCTGAATATCTTAATCTGGTCTCATATATTCTGCCCTGGACATTATAAACTGCCTTGTTCAATGGAAGAACAGCTGTCTTGAAGGCTCATGAAAGGAGATTTAGTTGATAACATACAGGGTCTGGCTTTGAAGGTCAGGCTCACTGGTCTTGATTTGGCAATGGAAGCTGACCGGGAATCAGTGACAGCTCACTGAGAAGTAAAGCTGGCACATTTTTTACAAACTAGAACCTCTGCATCACTTTCATCTTTGGCCCCAATACAGTAATCCAGTTTGGAGATAATGAAAGGATTGTGATGGCCAGATCTTTTTTCTGGGAAGAAGGGTTGAAACTTATAGCAAGCTGAAAGTGGAAGGCATTTTGCACAATGGTGCTCCCTTGCTCATCTAGACTTAGTGAGGAACTAACAGGATCATGTGGTTTTGCACCACTTTGATAAATGGGTCCAGATACCTTTAATACAGTGTTTCTCAAACTGGGGTTGCCGCTTACGTGGGGAAAGCCCTTGGTAGGCCGGCCTGGTTTGTTTACCTGCCCTGTCCGCAGGTCCGGCCAATCGCGGCTCCCACTGGCAGCGGTTCGCTGCTCCAGGGCAATGGGAGCTGCTGGAAGCGGCGCGGGCCGAGGGACTTACTGGCCGCCGCTTCCAGCAGCTCCCATTGGCCTGCAGCGGTGAACCTTGGCCTACAGCTGCAATCGGCTGGACCTGCGGACGGGGCAGGTAAACAAACCAGCCCAGCCTGCCAGGGGCTTTCCCTACACAAGCGGCAACCCCAGTTTGAGAAACATTGCTTTAATGGGATGGATGAGATGTACTGCTGGGTGTCCTCAGTGCACTTCTGGCAGCACTGACGTGAAATCTTACCTCTCCTTGTGGTCTCCCAAACAGATATTGAAGAGGAGGGAGGAAAGAATAGATCACTAGAGGACTCAGGTGAAGCATGTTCAGTTTTGGGAGGAACTTGCTGAAACATAAGGAGTTTGTGCCAGACAGGAGGAAGAGATAAGTGGGTGGAATCCCTAAGGAGCCAATGAGATGTCGGGAAGTAAGGAAGAAAGAAAAACTCACAACTGTCAGAAACTGACCCTGAAATTGATGAAATAAAATAATTACTAAGTAAAGTAATTTATGTCACGGAATCTATGGGTGAGCCTCAGCAATATTCTAAATGGTGGCAGGGAAAATAAATCCTTGTTTAAGTTAAAAAAAAATTTGAAGTATTTTCCTAGAAAACTTTCTTTGGTGATGAGCTAGCTGGGATAATTTAAAAAAAAAAAATCTTTTTGTAGAACTGGGGAATCTATTTTTTGCTGCGTGCATTTTCATTTAATTATTTGTACACATGTTCCCCGAATCCTCCCTGTGAAGGTTCAAACTGTGCTCAACTGTAAAAGCAAATCAAATCTGAACTATTCAAACAAGCAGATATATGTCTTCCTTTGTTTGAACCAGTGTTTGCTGTGTAGACTGGCTGTCTCATCCTTCCCAGCCTCTCCCCATGTCCTCCCCCCTCTGAATAAAAGCAATCAAAGCCTTCAAGTTTGCCACTGAAAACACAGGACAAGCTGCTATGCAGATAACTGGTACCATTGTCCTAAATGCTAATGGATCTGACCTTAGAATGTCACAAACATTTCTCCATTGAATCTGATCCTTTCTATTTTCTTTAAACAATTAAAAAATAAAATACTTTCTTGTATGCTATCGTGTAAAATTATTTTAGGTACAGTAACAGAATAAAAGTATTGAGACTTCTGTATTCCTAATGATCTATTCATATGTTAGACATTTAACTATATAAACATCATCCTTTCTTGGATGGAAGTGAGAATGACTGGGTGGAGAATGGAAAGATAAAGAAAGTAAAGTAGAAAACAGAATGTGGCTTAGCAAAACAGAAAAAAAAATATATGCACTCTTTCTAGATCTTTGAGTAACTACAGGGCTCGGTGACAAAACAAATACAAATGGACAAAGCATGACAGATGTTCAAATTCTATTCCACAGTCAAATAAAAGAGTAAACAATGTCTCAATCACATTAAAAATATTAAAGTCAAAATATCTGATGTAGTTACTCTTTCAAGGCAATGCTCATGTTGTTCAAGCTATTATGAAGGTTTTAGTAAAGTAACCTCTATGTCTAAATTTTCAAACGTACATGCCTAAAATATATTTAAGTGCCTAATTTTAAGCTCCCAAATGTTGATTTAAGTATCTGAACCTGCACTTAGATTTGTAATGACAGATTTAGGTACCATATATACTCGTTCATAAGCCTAATTTTTTTTTTTTTTTTTGTAAAAAAAAAGGGAAGCACA